AGGTGTCCCTGCCCGGGGCAGGGGTTGGAGCTGGAGGAGCTTTAAGCTTGAACCAGGCTGGGATTCCCTGATGAGCCATTTAGGTGAATGCACCCAGGAAATGAAGCCCTTCCTGCACCAACCTGCAGTCGAGAGCTGGATCTCAAAGCCTGTGCAGCAGAAGAGGGACACTTGCCCTTCCCCTCTCTTTGGGGGGCCACGGCCATGAATCCTTAGCATTCCTTGGTGTTCCCAGAGGGATGGGTGGGCTGTGTGCTGCTGAGGCACGCGCTGGGGGTGCTGCCTGCACTGACTGCTCTTGCTGTCTGATCTATCAGGTGTTCTGGCGCTCTGGGCCCTAATCACGCATGTGATGTATGTGCAGGATTACTGGAGGACCTGGTTAAAAGGGCTGAGGTTCTTCCTCTTCATTGGGATCCTCTTCTCAGCTCTCTCCGTGGTGGGATTCTGCACCTTCCTTGTTCTGGCCATCACCAAGCACCAGTGTAAGTACTTCGTTAGGAGCAGGTCCCGGGGGGAGAAGCTGCTGCACCCGGTGGTGCTGGCGTTGGGTGGAAGGAGCAGAAGAGGCTCCATCCCTCTGAGACCTGAGTCTCTGAGAGGGGTTGAGGGATCTATGAGATCTCAGTGACTCAGGACTAATTCTGCTGCCCAACACATGCTGCTGCCTTAGGGCATCTTCTAACACCGAGGAGCTGCCTTGACAAGCCTGGTCTAAAGGCTGCTGGGAGGCAGTGCCTGTTTTCCAGCTTTATTTCCTATAGGAACTGGACTTGACTCATTTCTGTAACAAAGGGAGTGCTCTTAAACGTTGTCTCTTCACACACAAAGGAGGTGGGTGAAGATGTTAAACTCCAACAGGAGGCAGCAGGGGGAAGATGCCTTCTACGCTTAGTCAGCATCTAAAGCTGTGTTGCTATAAACCACTTCACATCATCTAAGGAGGGTGCAGCTTAATTCCTCCCGGTGTTTGCTTGGCCACAGAGCAAAGAGAGCAAGCTTGGGGGTTGTTGGGTTTAGAGGCTGGCTGTTTGTTGCTTGCTGCATTTGGGCTGAGAGCCACCAAGAGCCCTGTTGTTGTTGTACTCATGGTGGTGGGCAAGCTGTGTCGGGGTCACAACCTACCAAAAGCCCTTGGCTTAAGCCTAAATACACTCCCTGTGGAGCCTGGAGTGCTTCAGCCTTGTGCAAGGGCACGAAAACACTCCTATGGAGGCCTTGGAAATACAAGTGGAAAAGGAAAAGCAAATGTTTTTAATCACCTTCCTTGGAAACATGAGGAAAAACTGTTTGGGGGGAATTTGTGGGTTTTTCCAGGGAAATTGAGGGGTTTTTTTTAGGGAAATGGAGGTATTTTAGGCAAAGCCCTGATATGGGGGGAAAACAACGTCTGCATTAGGTTGTTCCTGTATGGAATGTTCAGGACTGGTGCTTTGAATGAGTGGGATTTGCTGAGTTGGGGGTATCTTTGGCTTAGAGATGCCCACCCAAAAGCTGCCAGGAGCTGGGGGGTGAAGCTGGGCTCTTCCTGACCAGCCTCCCTAGGGATAAATGGCATTTTTACCTGGCTCTGTCCTCTCCTCTCTCCTAGCCCTGACTGATCCCAAAAGCTACTACTTGTCCTGCGTCTGGAGCTTCATGGCCTTGAAATGGGCCTTCCTGCTCAGTTTCTACGCTCACCGCTACAGGAACGAGTTTGCAGACATCAGTATCCTCAGTGACTTCTAACACTTGGACTTCAAACCTGGCTGCAGGTGCTGGGTGATTGAGGTGCCCCCCCAAAGGCATGGTCCATGCAGGAGATGTACGAGAGGCAGAGGAGGAGCCCACCCCGTGCTGCTTGGCTTTGTCTGTCTGCAGTAGGGCTTTTCCCTAGTTGCTTTTACTCAACCATGGCAAGTGGCTGCTGATGCCCATCCATCCGTGACCTCCCTGGAGCCCCTGGGTCTGGTGGGGAGGGCAGAGACTCCACACGCTGAAGCACAGCAGCTCTAGATCCACTCTTTGCATTGCCCTCAAGTTCGGCACATCCTGGGGCCTCCAGGAGCTGTAGGGTCGTACCTCATGGGTGCAGCACCCAACACCTTGTCCTCATGGGTGCATGGCCAGCAGGCTGCAGGTGGGTGCCCCGGGGGGGTGTAGCAAAGCACCCTGCTGTGTGGAAGTCAGCTCCTTTTGCACTGCTCTGCCCCTCCAAGAGGAAGGAGAGAGGAGCCTTTCCATGAGGCAGGAAGTGCCCTTGTACCTTCTCCCACGTTGCAGGCAGGGTCAGCTCATTCCTGTGGTCTGGATGAGCCCAAAGGGACGGGCCAGCAGCAGAGAAGCACCAAGGCTCTATCAGAGACTGGGAATGTCGTTTCTGGCTGCTCTCCAGGATCATTTTAAAAGGGAATAGAAGGGTGTATTTCACGCTCGGGTTTGTAGCGTTCAGAACCAGGTGTTTGGGTGCAGGATGTGCTGGGCGAAGGCTCACCTCAGCCTCTGAGATACATGATTCTGCTTAAGAAAGAAAACCTGTTTGCTTTGCTTTGCTTTGCTTTGTTTCCCTGCAGCAGGATGAGACAGGGCAGGAGGATGGTGCTCAGCAATAAGAAGGGTCTCCAGAGCCAGCTTCCAGCACACCTCGGAGCCCCAGAGGAGCTGCTCTTGTGCAGTGAGTTAAGAGGTGACAGGTCTCCACTCGTGGGCTGGAAGCAGCAGGGTTCCTGTGTGGCACTGCCCTGACAGCCCAAACCCCACTGGGTTTGGTGTCTCTTTATCCCTGTGGTTTGCTCCCCTGAAGCCTTCAAGCATTTACCTCCTAACGTGTGCTCCAGAGCAGCTAAAGGCTGTGGTGCTTCTGGCAGAGCCACGCTGGGGTTTTGCTGTGTTGGGCTGATGGTGCTGGCAGCTGGGAACTGGAAACAGCCATTTCCATGGGTGATTCTATAGGTGGGTGAGAGGAGAGGCAGGAAAAGCCCTTCCCTTGCAGAGCCAGGCAGGGAAAGGGGAACAACCCTCCCAGACACACTCGTGTTGCTGGAGCCTTCCCTGAAGTGCCTCCACGGCAGGGGATGGGTGATGGGACCTGCTCAGGGTGCTGTGACAAGTGAGGTGCGAGTGGAAGGTCCTGTGTCAGCCCAGCTTTATCTGCAGCCTGGTGGGGAGAATTGGGTTGTCCTTTCTGTCACCTTGTCCTCGTGGTGTGTTTGAATCCCTCTCCACGCTCACAGGCTCCATCCTCACCTTCACTGCTTGCAGCCTGGATGCAGAGGGTTGGATGCAGGGATGGAGCTGCTCCTCTCACTCCTCTGCCCAAAGCTGTTCAGCACTGGTCGTGTCCATGAACCAGCTCTTGCTGCCCGCC